TGTCTACATGCCTAAATGCACTGAGTTGCCGCCATGTGATTGGCTGATTAGAAATTAAGTGTTAACGAGCAGTTGGACAGGTGTACCTAATAAAGTGGGCGGTGAGTGTAAAAGGGCTGTAGTGAAGGTAGTTTTCATTCATGGTGCTGACTTTTTCTTTGATTTATTAGGATTAAACATGAAACATGAAACGACAACAAGAAATATTTAGATCAGATTTAACCCCGCATGTACATTTGTACACTTTATAAGGCCACAAAAACTCATATTTTATCAATTTATGAAATGTCCCATGAGCCTTTGCTACTTGAGCGTATGGCAGACTTTCTCCAAGTGCACAGACTAAAACAAAAGAGGACCATTGCACAGCTTAATCGTTAAAAATAAAAGACTTTACTTTTAAAAAGTATTTGTATTTCATGTATTGCCCGCAGCAATGGATAGATATTCATTTTGGCCCCCTCGGGGAAAATGTTTGGGCACCCCTGCTTTACAACTTGTTAAAAAGCTGTAAGTAGGAGGGCAAAAGCTTGATAGACAAACAGACTGCACACAAAGGCTGCGGTGCGCGCAGCGTTTGTGGAGACTCTCCAACATCACATCACGTCATGAAAACTCTACGGAGACGCAGAGACTCGTTTCTTAATATCAGCTATGAAATAAACTAAGAACTATGTTCTACCAAACATTTAAGTTCCTCTGTGTTTACAGTAATTATGGTAATAAACTCGTGCGCAAAGTTAATATTTTCAGACTCAGAATGGATGGATGAGCCGGTTGTGCAACACAGCAGCGCACACACACACACACACACCAACACACAACCACTCGTTCTTTGCGTGATAAACATATTTTATTCCTATTTTTACTTAGGATTTTTCTCTCACTCACATTATATTTAATTCATTATTTTTATGACATTAGAAATCATTTCTGATCGCGCAGGGATCACTCAAACGTGTCCTTCACACATGCAGGAAGTAATTCACATCTGTTTAACATATGTTAATGAAGGCGTGTCAGGGGAGGTGTCTTACCTGCGCTCAGTTCCARGTTAATTGTGATGTACAAAAGAAATGTGCGTGGATTCAGGCGTATGCACAGTTTGATACATCTTTATTTTTTTGTGTGTACGCCGTTTTCTGGATTTGACCGTACGTCAGGTTTCAGTAAGAAATCCACCAAGTCTTTGTACATGAGGCCCCAGGAGAACAGTACCATGTTCTCCAGGTGAGCGTGTTTCAAATGTTTTTGTAGTTTGTTTCATTTTTCACTGCTTGTTTACATTTAGAACCATACTGTGACAGAACTGCTCTGTAATAAATGTAATTCAATAAATGATCAAATATGTAGAATAAACAGTATTAAATGATTACATGAGCTTGAAATTTTTAAATAACTGTTAAAATAAATCAGTCTAACTAATAAAAAGGATTTTCAAGTTATTTTGTTCTGTGCAACAGACAGATATTTGCTATAATTTTCAAATAAATA